ATATATATATATATATATATATACCCTTAAGAAGAGAACCTTGCCCTTCTCCCGAGTCTCGCTCTGTTCGAAACTTTCTTCCAACTAACGCAGCGGAGCAATTAATTTACCGCTGTATACGGCGTTCGGCAATTAAGCCGCGTTACGTTGTTACACATTGCATTTACGAGCGAGTCGCGCGACAAGGTCGTCATAGGACGCCGCGGAGTTGCGTGCCGCTACGACGACGAAATGCACGAAGCCCCGCGAGAAACTAGGAAGAACGCGGAGAAGGACAGAGCGATCCGTCCCGCCGCGTGCTAGACGAGGACAGGGCGTATAGTACACAGACAGCGGCTCGTGCTCGACTACGTTCGTGTGCCTTCGTCCGCGAATCGCGTACGTCACGAAGCGGCCGGCCAATCGGCGCCGAGCCGGATGACTCATCCAGTCGAGCCTCATGTAAACTCTCTCGTGCCGCTTAGCCAGCAGTCTCCCGCCAACAAGCAAAAGGGCAAGCGCCGCTTTTGCCACGTATATCTCTGTCTCTGTTCCGTCGTCAACGCGTAAACACGCTTGTGTCGCGGTGTCTCGCGCTATTCCAACCGGCGGAAAAGAAAACAAAGTTCAGACCGTCGAGGCTGCTCACAGTACTCGATCGTAACAACTCGATCGTCGGACGATCCGGTTGACCCGGTTGATTGAGAAGAAGAACAAGAGAGATCCCGCTCTCTCTTTCTCGTTTTGCGTAACACACGCCGAAAAAGTTCTCATCGAGCGTGATCGAACACCGGGGGAGGGGGACTGCTCGTTCTTGCTTTCTTGCCGAACAGTCGCGTGTGTCAAATGAGGTGAGGTGAGAGCCACCTTAGAAAACCGTGGAGGGAATCTCGCATAACTCGAACAGAATGAGACTGAAGAAGGAAGCGCCGTGTCTCGTGCTGAGGCTGGTCCCTCTGGAGAATCTCGAACCGTGGGGTAAAAAAAGTCTTTTTCATTTTTCCCATTTTGCCTCTTCTCTGTCGTGTGTGTTGTGTTGTTCTCGTCGATGTGAGTCACTCAGCCGCGAGCTTCCCTGGATCTCAGCCTCCGGAAGAGCTGTGGACCGTCCCGTCGATTGACTCGTTTGCTATTTAACCAGTCTTTAACGAATCTGACTCGTCTGGTTTTATTCCGTTCCTGTTGAACTGTTTCGGTTCGATCGAGAGAATAACTGTTTCGCGCGCGGTGTCTCGAGATGGCTCTGGTATTTTTTTTTTATTGACGAGTGACTTTCGACAATTCTTCCGACTCGGCAGAGAGAGAGAGAGAGAGAGAGACAGAATTAGTATGTGCGTGTCAGTTTGTTTCAAGACCGAATGTCCAGCAGCATCCCATTTGCACTTCGATTCGATCGTTTAGAGACAACAGCGCGATCATACTTTTTACTAGTTGTCAGTGTTCCGTTTATGCGTTCAATTCCAACCGCTATGGTCCAATGGTATTTCTGAGACGTTCGCAACGGCGGGAGAATACAAAGTCGAACGTGGCACGCGGGTAAATACAATCTCTGACGCGGAATGACTCAAGCCTTGATATCTTAGATTTAGGCGCAATGCGTGGCTCGATGACTCGTTTCGTGTTAATCTCTCCCGTACAGTGCAACTACAGGTTCCTCCGAGGCGTCGTACTGAAACGATCTTTCGTGTTTGTAAATTGAAAACGCGTGCTTCCACGTTGAAATCACACACACACACACACACCGCAGATAAAAGCATTTTCGTATCGTGACGGAATTCTTTCGAGCCATCCGAGTCGATGACACACGCCTCTCACAAATTCCACATTTTTCTCGTTTCTCAACTATATTAATGACATCAATGCCACCAATTTTCACGAACGGCGCGAATTAACTTAAACGTGCATAATTTCGGAAAATTGAAATATTAGACTGAAGGATATGATACGTTGCAAAATTTTGTTTCGTTTTGCTTACGAATCATATATATAAAATAATAATAATAATAAAGAAAGAAGAAATTCAAGTTTCTAGTGAATCGATTACACCGTTGAATTCAAACGACGAGAGAGGAAAGTAGGATGTAAGAAAAGATCAGAGTATCCCATAGAACGTACATGGTGGACAGCGAAGTGCACGGCGTCGTTGAGATGGAATGTGGGTCACTTCATTTAGGTCATTATAACAATCAACTTGTACTTGAAGTTCATTGCTCCGGTTTCGCAGGTGCCACAAAAATACCAAGTAGTCCCCGTTCGTTAACATTCTTATCGTCCCTGTTATCTTTTTAATTTGTCAAAAACAGTTATACCGATTTCTATATTCTTGGTATTTCACTAGTCAATCGCCATCCTTCAAAAATCATTGCTAGCCGCTTTAGTTGAATAAAATCCATAACGTGTAAGATTGATTAGAAGCTGTGCTCGAGATACACTTCTATCCTCAGACTCAAATTAAAATTACTTCCATCATTTCTCTGGTTTCGAACGGTGCAAAATTAACAAACACGGC